ATTTAAGATATATGATTTACTTTTATACATTTACTTTCGGGGTTTAGTTAACTTTATCGATCAATAACTTTTATATTTTTGAATAAATATTTTTTGTTCCGTGTGATGACGGATTAAGAAAACGGAGTGTCACCAACCCTATTCATGAGGCGATGAGCGTAAATCGATAATTATTCACTGCAAAATTATTCAATGCGTATAATTATTCACTGCAAAGAAATCTCTATATTTTAATATCCGAAGAAGAAAGCACTTTGACTGATATCTATTCTAAAAGATGAAAGCGTCGCAGGTCTACATGACGCTAAAAGCTAAATGCATACTAATTTCCTTGTAACCGTCGGCTTAATGTTTCAAAAATAATTAAAACGCTTTAATCTCCATTATTATATCATTCATGATCCCATATTTTGGCAGAATTAGAAGTGCAAAGCGTCTTAGATCTCATTAGACAAAAATGGAAACTCGGCAAAGACTCGTTCATTATCTCAAGTCTATTGGTTAGAAGCTAAGCCGAATTAAATGCAAGTTCTAAAAGGAAAAACCTTATGATATGATTGATATACAACTACATTTTTTTTTAATTTAAAGTGCAATTTACAGAATACATTAATGAAATGAACAGAATATATGAATGAATGAAATAATAAATGAACCAACGAATGAAATTAACAGAATATAATAAGAACGATGTCAGTAATAAATGAACTAAGGAATAAATAAACAGAACATTTAATCGAATGAAATAATAAATGAACGAAGTAATGAAATTGTTTACGATTGACTGACTAATTGACGTGTCGAAAAAGAACACTTCCACAAGATTAGCCGAGAATACACTAGCTATTATATATTATAGTAATAGCTATTATATTTTATAGTTTTTCAGTTGCAAATAATACTTTACACTTTAAAAACATGTCATCATTGCAGTACCTACTATTACTATTATCATTACGTCGTAAAGCGGAAGTCGTAATTCTATTTTGTGACATTTTTCTACGTTTTATGTTGAAAACTATTAACAGTCGTGAGGGAACCATTTGAGTATTTATAAGGAAAGAAAGCATGAAGAAAAGTCTATTTCTCTACACAAGATGACTGGCAGGTATATCATATATGTATTACGAAAATTTCTTATTGGGCATTGAGGCTGCTTAACCCCATTTCAAGTTTCCTAAGACTAACTTTTATAAGAATGTTTTAAGAGTAAATTTCATTAATATTGTTTCCATTATTAAATAATATATCTACTTATTTCTTAGGAATATACATGATACAACTACTGCAAATATACTAATAAAATAGAAGAAAACTATAATACGTGGGCGAAAAGTATAATTTCCGTGAAAATATAATATATTATATTAAGGAACGCGCCCCCAAATGCTACGGGGAGCATTTGCCCTGCGCATTTGGGGCTCCCTCGCTTTTTGAAGTGTGAAAATATTTATTCAAATTAATATGGCCACAATTCTTATCACGAAAGAGTTGCATATAAATGTCGAACTATAATTTAAACTTTTAGTACATTTTAAAAGTGAGCATAAGTTGCACCAGAAATTATGTTTTGCACTGCGACCCAATGCTGCGAGCGACGCCCAAGCCTGGCAAATTACCAGCGTTTCCAAAGCCGAGTCCTCACTACAATCGGAGTGATGTCAGGCGGGATTCAATTCCCTTCTAGCGAACGACTACAGAATTAGCCGTGTCCAGAAAAGACAACGAAAGGGTCCTGTGCTGTCACCCTACCCATTCGACGATGAACCGGGCGGAGGCCGACAATTGCTACCCGCCTGGAACTCAGCCGTCCGCCGATATACTTCGGCGAGCACTTCCTACCCAAATGCTACGAGAGTGTTCAGGCCAGGCGTCGACACCGTGCTGTAACCATGGCTCAAATTACCGATGCTCTCTGAGGGCGCCAGAGGCGTACCCTATTCTGGGCGGTCAGAACTGCCGTCCACACCGGTGCACCGTACAGGTCCATTAACCAGACAACCCCCATGTACAGCCGTCTTGTAGCGGCGCTGGGTCCACCCAAATTGGGCAAAAGTCCACCTCAAACTTATAACTTTTATTTTTGCACATTTTTTTATAAATCACTGTACATTGTGTCGTTTGTGGTGGAAATAAGATATTTTTATTATTTATTTTGTTACCTTTAAGCCTAGAGCCTCGCGCGACCACCCCAGAGAAACCCCAGAACCCCCCCACCCCCCCTCCACACAGACAAGTTTCAAGTTTGAGACTGGTATAACCAACCCGTCTGGCCAGTGTGGTATAATAGTAGACAAAAACCTCCTTTTTAAGGAGAGGCCCATGTCCATGCAGTAGACTACTTTTTTTTTGGGACTAATCCCACCCACACGCCCACCACTAACTCCTGTACACCAGGATCCACAGCAGTGACCCACGAACACACCGAGTTATGACACTCGGGAAGTCCCAGGAAGAAATTAGCAAGCGAGCGCTAGCGCTTAGCAAAGCGGAAGACAAAATGAAGTAAAATGGGCATACACCCTTTTAAACAGGGAAGCACCACGGCCACAAATATTACGGGTCCTACGTGAGCTATGTTTGATTTCTATAATATGTATGGCAGAATCGCCTAAACGCACGGAAATTCACCTTAGTTGACACAAGATCCCCATAGTATACCGCCCCAGATGTCACCTGCAAGCTATTCAGCATTATATTACGTTCATTATACCAAAGACTACATTCCCAGAGGATATGATGAGCAGACTGTTCATAGTGAGAGTTAGGTGTTGAGCATTGACACAATGGTGACTCGACTGATTTAAATTAATAAAATAAAGAAATTGGATGGATGATTCATCCCAGAATTGTTGCCATTCGTCTATGAGGTCATTATAGACATCGGACTGCTGTTGAAGCAATCTTGTAATTTTACCGCGATCCCGCGTGCTCAAAAAATTGCATTCCATGTTTTGTTGTCTTGAATAGTACATGGCTGCACGTCTCTGCACCTCGAGATCGACCGGAAGCACACCCGCCAACACCGGCAAAGCCTCAGTGCTAACCGTCCTATATGCCTTACACAAGAATATCAGTGCAAGTCATTGGCCTTGTAACAGTTTGCGACGGACAGCGCCTACGGTCGCCCTATCGGCCCATACAGGTGCACCATAGCACATAGAACCTAAATAAGTAGCTCCGTATATGATCTTTAATGTATTAAATGATAGACCCCATGTCGCAGTTGATATTCTTGTCAATGCACAGAAACTCTAAAGACTTTTCATTAACTATTTTAATATGTTCGATAAATGAAAAGTTTCTTTCTAAAACTAATCCTAGGTAACACACTGAGGTTTTATTTTTTACAGTAACATTGTCAAATCTAATGCTTGGCGGTGATTTGAGGTTACCTTTTAAAAGTAGCTGGAAGGTTTTGTTGGGTGCAAAAGTTAAGCGATTACGTTCACCCCATTGAGATATCAAGCAGTAGACTACTATAGGCTGTTGATGATGATGATGAATGCCATAAACTAGATAACGTAAAACAACCCAAGGGCCTTTTGATAGAATTTGCAACACACCCCGCGCTGTCTTAATCCGGCACTGGGAACGCGATAGTTTAAAAGTTAGTGAAATTATAGAAGATCCAGTTATGAGACGGATATTGAAAAAAAACTTATTTATTGTTAGTCGTATTCAAAGTCATTTAGCAAGGCATTAAAGTAACGATAATTCTGATGTCTTTGGAATTCTACAGGTGTATGGTGGTAATGAAGAAGATAAAATGCCATATGAGGTTGAATATTGCGACAGTGGCATATACAATCTGGTTGAAGGCAAATTAAAAGTATGTTAGGTGTAATTAAGTATTGGCTATAATGGTTTTATTTTCTTAATAAGATCCAGTGCCTTGACCTGACATGACATGACTGCTGTCAAACATTATATAAATGTGTATAGGTTGCTACAGTAATTAATTCACCATAGTACCATATAATAATGTGATGGTTCCCTATAGTAGCAACTATATACTCGTATTCAACTTTCCACACGTAAATCTGTGAATACACTTTGAACATAAGGTAATCAAACTATGATTCCCATACGCTACTTTTGATCATTAGTATATTTTAATAAAATCCTTTATATAAATAGGTTTTTGACGTATGGCAATGCAAATGAGTATGACTATGACTATATACGATTTGATTTACAAAAAAAGTAATTAAGGCACACACCGTATTTTATATTTCTAGAATTAGATGGTGCTCACCTTTCTTATGATTAGCTATAAAAGAAAAGGCCGAAACAAATCTCAGTGTTTCATAATCTGTGGGTTTAACATTTAACTAAGCCTTGTAAGCATGAATTACACTTGCATGCATCGATGTTGCATGTGATACTTTGCATGTGACGATTTTTCTTTGTGTAATATTTATTAGTAGTATTTACAGAAATATCTATAAGTACAAGTAGGTTTAGGAATAAACATTCCTATTTATATTACTATTTTATTTCTATTAAAGAGAACATCCGCACTAGGACTATATCCAGTGTCGCGGGGGATTTTACAAACATTCATGCAACGGACACAAAGAACACCCAGACTCAGAACAACAATTTGTGGATTACACAAAGTGTTGTCCCATGTGGGGATCGAACCCACACAGTGTAGTAGGAAGCGGTGAGGTGACCGCTTATACAACTATGCAATCCGTGCAGTTAATTGCAAATGCAATTAATCCAGTCCTTTTTCTTTGTTTGAATAAAGTATAAGCTTTGTTTAATTTCACATTACTTTCAATGTGAGTTATTTATTATGTGGAGGACATTTTGTAGGGATCTTTACCCAATTCTAGATGTTAATTATAATTATTTGCGGGAACCACTCATTGTGTTATTATATCATAAATATGTAGTATAAATTTGATTACAGTGTACTATCGTCTCCAATTTTGTTTTACATAGTCCATGACCCATTTAAAAACTAAAAGAAAAAAATATAGCGATGTTACCTTTCTGTTTGTTCCTGTTGGCATGTCGTGTGGCCGGTGGCGTGCGGCCCAGGCTTTCAATGTCCGTGTTACTGCTCCCGTAGGCCAGGGGGGGAGAATCGCCTTTCAGTCGTGGATACTGGCAATAAAGGAAAACATAGTGTAATTAAACTTTCTTTGCTATAGTAGAAAAATAATTTTCTTTCGGAATGTATTCAGGCAAATATTAATTTTCATTAGTTTATCTTTATTAAAAAAAAGGGCATGAAACTTAAGTAATATTTTAACAAAAGTAACATAAGACTCCCTCACCTAAATTCAGTTGGGATCCCTGAAATGAACATGCAAGTAAACTTTTACATATTTTTAATAAAAGTAACATATTATTACTTAATTAGTACTAATCATGCTTCGGTACACAACATACGTCGGCTCGAACAGGATGATACTTCATAGAAAAATAACTCCCCCTCCCCCTCCCACTTAATTAGGAGAGGGGCAACGCACTTGTGTCTCCTAAGGTGCACTTACTTACCATCAGTTGACCCGTCCGTCGTTTACCCCTAATTACAGGTAGCTAAAGTTAAATCAGTGTGTCAAAAATTGTCAAAAATTTGCGTCGAACATAGCTTACTACTAAAAAAACTTTCTGCATACGGCGTAAGAGGAAATGTCTATGATTTGGTTAAATCTTACTTAGCTGATAGATCACAAATAACCCAAATAAGTAGAATATGCCCAAAGACTAAAAAAGTTACGATATATACTTCATCTAGTAGAAAAGTCAAGTTGGGCGTGCCGCAAGGTAGTGTGTTGGGACCACTGCTTTTTAATATATATATAAACGATCTCCCAAAAGTGACAAATTAAGTATAACACAATTTTATTTGCTGACGATAGTACAATTATATTTACTGGAAAAGACAAGATACATTTAGAGCAAGAAATAAAATTGAGATTAAACAATATTATTAACTGGTTGACATTGAATAATTTGAATATTAACTTAAGTAAAACTAATTTTATGACATACAGAAATAGAATAAATAAATTGACGAATATGGATAATCGGTATTTAGACATAAAAATTGAGGAAGTAGAGGTTACAAAGTTTTTAGGGTTGAATATAGACAATAACTTAAACTGGAAGCATCACATTGAAACAGTGTGTCTCAAACTAAATACGTATTCATATGCACTTTATAGATTAAAGAAAACAGCAAGTATCACAGCTGTTTTAGCGGTGTATCATGGGTGCATTTCCTCTCTTCTGAGGTATGGTGGTGTTCTGGGGAAATTCTACAGATAGGGAAACTGTATTTAAGGCGCAAAAGAAATGCATGCGGGCCATATTCAGTATTAAAACTACAGACAGTTGTAAACCATATTTTATAAACTTTAAAATTCTAACGCTACCATGCACATTTACATATTAGAAACTGTCGTGTTTGTGCGTAAAAATGCTTATGTATTTAAAATCTTAATAGTAAGAGGCGTGATATGGAAATACGCATGCCCAGAAATAAAACAGCCCTGTTAAATAGGAGCGCACTTTGTATGGCTGTTCGATTATACAATCGTTTACCAAAATCTGTACTCGGAATCACAGATAGTGTATTTATATTTAAAAATAAAGTCAAAGAAATATTAGTTGGAAAAGGATATTATTCTGTGAACGATTATTTAATTGATAGTGAATTGGTGTTAATGAACAATGTTTAATTTATATAACAGTTATAACTATGTAAACGTAATTTATTAGTGACTTTCCTCAATTCCAATCTTTATATTAATTTAATGGTTATTGTATACTTTTGCATGCTGCTGTGACAGCAGAATATGATGAATCTGATACTATTGTAAGAACTTTTATACCTACTCATGTTCTGCAAAATAAATAAATAAATAAATAAAAAAAATGGAGTTTCTTACCAGGTTATAGATGACTTTCTTGATTTTCTCTAGCCATTTCTTGGCGCCTTGGTCTGTGTCATCTTGTATCAGGTACTGATCGCAGCCCACGAATAACAAGATCGAGCGCTGATATCTGAATACGTACGTTGTTTATTAATATTTTTGAACATTTTATTGCACTAATATAAACTTAAATAAATATAAGAAAGGAACATTTACTTTTTATTGTGTTATAACCCTGTAAGACCCGAAGGCCAATTCTCGTAAAAAAAATTACGTCCAAATTCTGTTCCGATTTACTCTCAATATTTGTGAACAATGCCACATAAGGTGTTATCCACAGTAAAGTATTACTAAGGCTAACAGAATACCGATTTAACTTTTAAGACATTCTTCTGAGAATACCTTTTTTAGACATTCGTGAGATCGACAGTAGATCGGCACTGAACTAATATTTAACGATTTTTTATTACGAGAATTGACCTGGGTATTTTTTACAAAGTGTTCTAAGTAAGACTGAACTAGCTTTTTATAAATCAAAACGACAACCAGTTTCGACCTTCTTGAAATACAGATATCAACATGACCAAAACTTCTATGAGTAGAATTTGTTTTAGTGATTTAGGTTTAAATAATGATTTCTTAATAGATATTTGTCTCTACAACAAGCTCTACTCTACTTGAGTAAATCAAACCCAAGTGGCGATAACCAGGAATACCTAGGTGACAATCCACCGGTAAATATTTATTTTATTCTTTTCGGACATGATTGTGGACCCATATCGTCGTCGATCACAATATCCAGGAATGAAAGATGAACATCATGTTGCTCTTTGTTAAGGAACCTAAGCCTTAGGTAGATAATTATTTTACTATATTACTTAAATTTTTGGTTTATATATTTAATTTTTCAATTATAATAATTAATATAATAATAATATAATGAATATATATTTAATTTCTTCGTTGCTTTACTTATGATAAGGCAGTCCGTTGTATTTCATCCACGTGAAGTACCTACGTTCTATTAATAAATAAACAAGAAAAATCTACTACTGTCTATTTGTTTGTTTACCTTTTGGTATATTTCTGTGGACACTCATCGGCGTGTGCGTTGCGCAGAGGCAACACAAGTTCTGGCAAAGGAGCGGTAGGTGATGGAGGAGTACCAGGAGGTCTTGATACTTTCTGTAATAAAAACCAACCATTTAGATCTAGTGTATAAGTTCAATGTATAATGTTATTTGAAATAAATGTGTGGTGCGGAAATATAGCAAAACAATTTAGAAAAAAATATAGATTTTCTTTTCGTGTGCTGTTCTGTACTATTCGAGTTAGCTTTCACTTAGCAAGTGATAAGAAAATATTTTTAATAGTCGTGAATTACACGACAATAAAAGAAATGATTCCTATTTATATACAACAAAAATCTTAAACTATACTTTAAAAGAAAAACAGTAAGATATAAAATATAAAAAGTACAGTGATAAGATACTTACTGGAGTATAATAGGTCCTTTGATCTTTGTAGAAAAGTAGAGCAGTAGGTGTGAGAACCATGTAGCAATCAATCCAGTTCTTCTTCGTCTTCTTGGCTCCCTCCAGGTACTTGGTGCGTTTTATATGACCCTCTTGAATTACCTGGGGAAACTATATCCTAAATAGTTTTGAACGTATTTCAACGCAGTATTATTTTTTGTTAAATTAGTTTAGTTAGCATATTTTTGTACAGTGTTTTATACTTAGCTAAACTAATTTAACAAAAATTTATTGTATATACAGTCGACTTAAATACTTTAAGGGGTTGTAGTTGATATCATTTCTGATAGATTTCACTACGAAATACCAAATCCCAAACAAATATTCTAGATATTCGAGATTAGGATTAATTGTTACTTTTTAAGGCATAACTAAATGTCACTGTCCAGTTTACATTCTTGAGCCCGTTTAAAACGTCATTGGCCGTTACCGTGAAAATTTAAGCCCCCTTCTAAGTCCAAATGTTGTAAGAAGTAACAACGGAACTCTCAATGCCGTGTGGCCCGACACGCACTTGGCCGGTTTTTATATTACAATTTTTAATAATAATTATTTTTTGGGACATCTGACACAACGCCATCTAGTTTCAAACTAAGCAGAACTTGTATTATGAAAACTAGATTGACTGATAAATTACTTACACTTTACTTTTGTAAATACATACATATTATAAATAGAAATAACCCTGACTCCGAAAGAAATGTTTGCAGATCATACAAACATTTGGTCTGAGCAGGGAAAGGAACCCGCGACCTCAGCACAATAGTCATACGCTACCACTGCACCACCGAGGCACAAATAGTATTAATTTTAAAACTGAAAAAATATTTTATACCTATAAATGAGCGTATACTTTAAGTATTGGATATTTTATAAAAGTTTTATCCTTGCCTATGTCCTTCTTGACCAGGGTGTATATTGTATATCCGGATTACGATGTCGGTTGTCACTATTCTGTTTTTAGTACGGCGATACGTCATTTGGTCAGGTATTAGTAATAATTAATATCGCCTTGTGGTCGGATTTGACCATAATTCATAAATATTTACCTATACATTTCCAGGATAATTGAACTGTCATTCTTAGATTTTCTCTGTTAGGATGGGTCAACATATGTTTTGATGTAACATTTTCAACTTCTATACTTCTTATATTTACTAGTATTAGGTTTACGTATTTAAAATGTTATATTCATCTATGAATATTGTATATAATACACAAAATAACACCAATTTTTGTTCTATTAACTCTAGCTTTGGTGATGAAAGTAGGTAGATAAATAATGTCCAATATTGTCTCAAATATTCTGTGTAGTAGGTCTCTTGCAGAAATCGTAGGTAATTGTCTTAAATTGATTTTTAGATTGATGATCTGGTACATAAATATATGGAAATGTGGACAGGATTAGGTTCATCTATTCGTAGTAACATTTTGTGACGAAAGGCGCGGGTATTTAAAATGTCACCGAAGATCATCAATAGGTATGGGTACTAAACCAATAAGACACGGATGTTTTCAATGATTATTTAAAACCATAAAAAGGTATATAAGTGGGTGCCGACACTTTTAGGCCATCTTAATTGAGAGAAGGCAGCCTTTAAATTGGACGTCTCAGTCCAAAATATTCATTTTAGCAACATATTTAAAACCACTACGAATTCAGTATATATACTATATAACTACTACTACCTACCTAATATATATACCTAATCAAGAGTATACGCCTATTAAAAGGATAAACGATTCTAACCTCAGCAGGATGTTGCATCGTAAACCTCGGTGCCGGGACAGGAGATCTCAACCGATGCTTAGGTGCCACCATAGATCTTGACTTTCTGTTTCTCGCGTAACCTTGTTCCCGGTCTCTTAACTCGACGTCGAGACTGTCGCCAGACGAGGACGCTGGAAGCTGAAGGTGGGACGGTCTGCGGGGATCTATGAGCAGGTTTTCTGACGAGCCACCTGGAAGTTTGCATTGTACCTTTATAATTTTTAATTGTAACTTACATAATTGTTTTTAAATATATTCGATGTTAACTAGTCTCTAACTCTCTTGTACGTACAAATGGAATAGATACATACGTGCTACTACACATTACTATATGTATAAGCGATTAAAATGGCAAGCACCTACATAATAAAACATTGATCTATTTTCGCTATTTTGATCGCTCACGACCAAATGCGAGCTATGATTTCCCTGTCCGTGTAAAAAGTGTATGAACTCACCGAGTCGTTTGTTGATTCTCACGAAGGGTGGGCTGTCGGAGTTCGCTTTGTTGTAACCGATATTGAAATCCGGGTGACATCTTTCCGACGTGGGGCTCCAATTGTTCAGTGGCTCGTAGTCCCGGTTCTTTAGGGAACCTTGCTCCGGTATGCTTTCCTGGAACATTGGAAAAAACAATTGTTAGTTTATTTTGGTAATTAGGAAGCTGATATTCAGGTATACAATTACCATGGCTAGCAAGAAAAACACAATAATAGTTGAAAGTGACATTATAAACAACAACATGCAAAATGTTTAAACCTAATAAATAAACAGAATTAGGGCATCAGATTACTTTCAAGTCTTATTTACTCGTGTACAACAAATTCATTCAAAATGTGAACCAAAAGAGATCCGTTTATTTAATTAAAGATAGAAAATATATAATCATCATCATCATCATTGATGTGCGAGTTTAAACCCTAATGAATTGAATTTTGTAAGTTTTGTTTCATTTTTGTGATTAGTTTAACTTAAACCTGTCATTGTTTAGTTTCCGTACCATTAGAGGTCATAGATTGCAGCTTTGTATCTTAAATTATTGCAAATGTCACGAAATAATATTACATAACTACATTACTAACATTATTATATTTATAGATAGTATTGGCCATACGCTAAGTACGAAAGATCTAAGATAAAATGAAATGAAGCTTAAAAAAGGTGAGTAGTTCTTACCCGGGACAAATTGTTATGTAATGAGCACAATTAAGTTTGGGTTTAATTTATCTACAAGATATATGTCACTAAATATCTATATTAACAGTCTGGTCATCATGATACAGGTTCTGTCACAATATCCTTTATCATTGAAAATTCTGTTATATCAATACTTTCTAGATAAGGCTAACATAACTAAAATTTAGTTCAGTTCACCAAAATTACATAGCGAATTCTGAAAATGTAGGACTAAAGTTATTTTAGTTTGATAGAACAAAAAATTTTTGTTCATTAGTTTTTCTTTCATACGTCCTGAACGTCTAAAATTGAGCTAGCTACATTTCAATCTACCCTAAGGTTACCTAGAAGAGATTTCTCTTAGCAATAAGGCCGCCTTTTGTATATTGTATGTCTGACGATTTATGTATCATATTACTTGTAAAACGGTGTACAAATAAAGAGTTTTCTATTAACTATGCAACTCAGTACACATTTGTTTATTATTTTTACTTCGTACGTCCTGAACGTCTAAAATTAGAAACGTTACACAAAAAGTGCACGCCATACAACTTGCCGACAGATTTTTAATGATTTCACATCACCATCAGATCAAGAGCCTTTAATAGTCCACTGCTGGACGTATTCTTCTCCTTAGAAAGGAAGTTTCGGCCTACTATTACACTATTCACACTGGCCAAACGGGTTGGTATAAGATTTCCTTCTCTTTGCAGTGCTGTTGTCCTGCGTAGTTAGCTCCCTGAGCCGCCTCTCACGACATCCACGGGATGAATAGGGGTGGCGACACTCCGTATTCTTAATCAGTCACCACACGATTCAGATTTTCTAATTTTTACTACTTTTCTAATGTCTGAATGTAAAGTCTATCAATTATTTTTCTACACGGTGAACAAGGAATGGGTATGTGATAATAAGTGACTATGGCTCTTCTTCTCTTCTCTCTACTTCTCTTTTTGCAATCCGACTTTGTATTTGAATATAATCATGTTCTTATATGCTGAATATTGTTTCATTTAAAATAAAAATATCATGACAGTCTTTTGTGAAATAAACTTTATATTTGCCTATGGTTTAATATTTAATATCTTTATATAGAGGTAATCAGTGTATATTTATGTATCGATTGCAAGCAAATAAGGACAAATAAGGAAGACTACTTCGTTACAAAATTCGATTACATGAGGAAGGTATCTTTGTAATCGAATTTGGGTAAAGAACTATTTAATAAATGGATGTCACGTGACGTAAACATTATCATCATCATCCTCCGAGCCTTTAAACCGTGGGCACAGCGCTCCACACGCTGACAAATGCGCGGCGTGTATGGAGCAGATGCGTGACCTTGTGATGGCCATCAAAGTGGGAATTGTCTCGCTCGGACTCTGATTGTGGCCATGGTATGGAGCGAGAGCGCGTGGCACTAAGCCGTCTCTTTCTGCAAACAAGTTGAGCTTGCAAAGGAGACGTCGGAACGGGATCGAGAGAGGTTTAGAATTCTCCCGGTCCGACAGGTCCTCGAACGGGCCAGGTACCGCAGACGATCAGGCACCGGAGGTCGCTAACGCCTTCCGTTCTCCATAAGCGCAGGCCTGGGGGTGGCAGGTGAGGCCATCTGTCACGCTAGCAGAAGCAGGCCGGAGTGGTTGATTGATTAATAACATATGAGGAATATTTTTTAAATACTACATAATTATAATAATGGTAGGTAACTAAAGTACCTCGTAAATAGAGCGAATGGTTATTTTACATCAAGTTTCCTGTATGCCTCTATCACAACTGCAAATTGTGTGCGACCATTATTTAATTTACAGTCTTTGCAAAGGTAGTTATTGATCTTTTAAGAGGTCCTTAAACAAATTCTATCGTTCGATTGACTTTTTGCGTAAGGCACAATGAACACAGAAATTCTGGAAAAAGCTGTTATAGTCAAAGTCTTTAAAGTACTTTTATAGTTATTTCAGTAGTGTGTGGTAACGTTTCTAGTTCTTTTTTTACTCTCTCTCCCTCCAAAAAAAGACAATACTTCTTCTATTCAGAACATTTGTTAACCATTAAGTTATACAAAATGGATTTATATTACCACACATAGTTTACTTTATTTAGCTATGAAGGGTAAGTTTCGATTTTATGAGCGTTTTTATTTTAAGGCCTTAACAGGTATTCAGCAAGGTGGTTCAGCAACATGTTAAACCATAGACAACTTTGCGAAACACATGACTGAATTTCTCATAAATCATTATGGTTTTCTATTTATAAATATGTCATTACAATCATTACCTCTCGCACCCATGTCTTGCCTCGTTTCAATCGAAAAACATTCATAATTGAAACTATCACAAACTTTTAAAACAAATTGGTACACTTTACACTTCGTCCTACATATTTAATTTATTTTATAGGTTAAATTCTATGCACAAACAGGCTAAATAATTTATTATTTAAAGGGAAAATGTGTATAATTCGTGTTGTATTCATAACGGGTGACACACTGACTGAAGTTGTGTCATTTGTAGCGATATTGTTTAGTGAGGAGCATTTGTCGATGGTATATATCGACGTTTTCCGCAGTAAAGTAAATAAAATTGTATTGCACGTCACTGTCCATAAAGTATATTTTTATAATGCTTTTTTACATTTCAATTACATGTCGATTCATTTTAAAGGTACTACTTAGATGTATATACCGTAAGAGTACCTATACCATGTGGCCTGGATGTCAATCTATATTGAACATCTACACTTGAGGAGAAATTAGGATCTTTACAATTTTATTTTTTATATGATGATTTGTGTGCCCAGTGGTTTATTTACCTTCTACGAGTATATATACCTATATTCTGGCATACATTATCACTATATTGTGAAGTGCTCTCAAAAAAACAAATGATTACAAATAACATTTTCTTTTTATTAATTTTAATAGCACTTTAAAAATTGATAATTGCATGAGTTTGGCACACGTTGATATATGACACAGTTTCCCTATTGGCTACAGATTTAGGAAAAGAATTGTAAAAATATTGCTATTTGTTAATATTAATTCATCTGTTACTACATTAATGCAATAAAAACTACAATTAGTTATTATAACTCAAAAAAAAACCAGTTCATTAATTATCGTTCGTATCATTCAATATAACAACAAAATGATTGTTAAAATTATTTAATTTACGTATTAGAATGTAAAATGACGGTTTAAAGAGTCATTACACAATATATATATTTATCATTTTAGATAGAATGAAAAACAAGTTTTGTATTACTTATTACATAAAAACTTTACATACATTTCAATATATGAGGAAACTCAAAAGAATCACTTATACACAGAAATTCGTCATTATTCTACGTATTAGAATAGTAATGGTTAAAACGTTCTTGTTGGTTAATGAGTTTAAGTGGCATAGTGCCGATGACTGCCATCAACCGTACAATCATCGGAGAGTAGTGCAAGAAACGAAATTTTGTTTATTGCTCTCGTGATTCATTTCGATTCTTCAATGGACAATAAAATATTGTTATAAATGAGGAAAGCTTTGGAAATTTCTTTAGTGTCAGTGTACCTTTATCGTTTACGTAATTAAACTATTTTGCGATAGCTTTAGACATGTTAATAAAACACTAAAATAAAAAAGATCTCAGTCTCCATCTACTAATATGTAAGCTACCAGACCTACGAAAATCTATAATTACAAAGATATGAATAAATATCGGCGATAGCATTATTATCGATCGATAATGGTGATTAAGCATTAATATCGTACATGTGGATCTTAAAACCCATCACAATGGCTGCTGTTACTTAATTTTGAACATACACTCAATTTATCATGACGTCAATGCTCAAGTTCCGGAGAACGGAACAAACATTGTCCCATCACTAATACGTTATCAGCTGTCGGTCGTCGATTCGATGTTAGGAAGTTTATTGTTATCTCGCTTTATTGCACTACACTGATTACAAGTGTAGTCTGTACTCTGTGCACAGGGCCCTTATGGTAATGAAACTTGATTCTCTGTACGCGTCCCACACGTGTGACAATGAAGGAAACATCCTACTTGCATTTCCTACTTCGTACAATTTAATCAATTGAAGAGACGAGAGATATTGCGATTTCGCCTACTTGGCATTTAATTAAATATTTTTTAAATTAGAGGCTTCTGTGTGTGACATAATATGCGCGAAATCATGTTATATTCTGGAGGTTATAAGAAGCGTTATAGTTATATTGGCTAGTCCAGGACTAGCGATATACCTATTTAAATAATTTGTGTCGGAATAGAACCGACTAAAATCACACTGTGTGCCACTCTGCGTCTGCAATAAGAGGTATCCGGGAACAGCTGTTAAAACATCCGGACCTCTCCTAGTCGCACCTCTGCCGCCCGGTTCGCCTGCGGCGCATTGGGTCCGGGGGGGGGGGGGATCGTCCTGCCGG